ATGAATGAGTGAATGAATGAATATATAGCTTAGTGCATGGGGAAACATTCCCTAAACCTCTGGGGAATGACTGGATAAAGTGTAGGGAGCCCCCTGATGTCCAGTTTAAGCTTCCACTCTCCCTCTTTCCTTTGCTCTCCTGAACTTCTAGTGCTTTCATTATAATCATATTTCCATGGTGGGAAGTTTTTTTAAATTTATTTTTAGAGGTGGGGTTTTGCCATGTTGCCTAGGCTGGCCTCAAACTCCTGGTCTCAAGCCATCCTCCCACCTCAACCTCCCGAATAGCTGGGACCACAGTCATACACCACCACGCCCAGCCAATTTTAAAAAAAAATAATTTAAAGACAGGGTCTCGCAGTGTTGCCTAGGCTGGCCTGGAGCTCCTGGGCTCAAGCAATCCTTGGCCACCCAAGCAGCTGGGACTATAGGCATGCACCACCACACTTTTTAAATAGATTTTATTTTTTTAGGCCCAGTTTTAGATCTACAGAAAAATTGAGAAGATAGTACAGAGAGTTCCCATATACCCCTTCACTCACTTTTCCCTATGATTAATAGGCTATATTACTAGGTACCTTTGTTATAAATAATGAACCAATATTGATACATTATTATGAGCTAAAATCCATACCTTATTCAGAGTTCCTTAGGGTTTTGTTTTTGTTTTTGTTTTAGATTCACGGGGTTTATGTGTGGGCTTGTTACATGGATATACCACATGATGCTGAGGTTTGGGCTTCAATTGAATCCATCACCCAAATAGTGAACATAGGGCCCAATGGGTAGCTTTTCAGCCCTTGCCTCCTTCCCTCTCTCTCTCCCCGCTCTTTTGGAGTCCCCAGTGTCTCTTGTTCCCAACTTTATATCCATGTGTACGCAGTGATTAGCTCCCACTTACACGTGAGAACATGGGGTATTTGGTTTTCTGTTTCTACTTTCATTCACTTAGGATAATAGCCTCCAGCTGCATCCATGTTACAGCAAAGGACATGATTTCATTCATTTTCATGGCTGCATAGTAGTCCATGGTGTATACGTAGCACGTTTTCTTTATCCAGTGCACCATTGATGGGCACCTTTGTTGATTCCATGTCTTTGCTATTGTGAATAGTGCTGCAATGAACATGTGAGTGCAGGTGTCTTTTGGGTAGAATGATTTATTTTCCTTTGGGTATATGCCCAGTAATGGGATTACTGGGTCGAATGGTAGCTCTATTTGTAGTTCTTTGAGAAATAGCAAGAGTTCCTTAGTTTGTACCTGGTGTCTTATTCTGCTACTGGATCCCATCCAGAATATCACATTACACTTCATCGTTATTTCTCTTAGGCTCCTCTTGATGGAGGCGGTTCCTCGGACTTTCCTTGTTTGGGGTGACCTTGAAAGTTTTGAGGAGTACTGGTCAAACATTGTGTAGGCTGCCCCTCTAGTGGAATATGCCTGACGTTTTTCTCATGATTAGACTGGGGTTATGGATTTTTCAGAGGGAAACCCCAGAGAGAAAGACATCTTATCAAGGGCACATTCCATCAAGGTGAGTTATCACTATTGTTGTTGACCTGGGCCACCTGGCTGAGGCAGTGTTTGTCAAGTTTCTCTACTGTAATCTTCCTCTCTTCCCCTCTTTCCATACTGTCCTCTTTGGAATGCAGTGAGCATGCAATGCCCTCAACTAAAAAGTGGGGAGTTGCACCTCCCCCTGACCATTGTTACGTATTTGAAGATTGTCCATTCGGAACAAGTATGGCCAGCCCTTATATTTCCGTTCTCAGGTGATACAGTACACATTAAAGTTAGAAAGAGAGGTCAACTGTGAGTTCCAGCGGAGGAGGGGTCTTGCCTTGCCTGCTTCTGTGGCCCCAAAAGAGTGCCTTTCACACTGCAGAACACCTCTTCCATGTTTAATCAATGCCTCCTGAATCGAATCAAACCACCACCACTGTCTGCCAAAAAAGAAAAACGTGCAAAAGAGTCTACAGACTGTACAGGCCTCTCTGAAGGGCACAAGAGTCCAGGAAACAGGTTTTTATTACTTCACTCAGAGTTAATTAGATGGGAGCTGATTCACCAGCAAGATGCATGAGACACACCCTGGTGTAGACGAGTGAGACTTATCCCTAACATTCATAATACAGTCTGTACAAAGCATTTTTGCAGATAACAAGTCTTATCTTTTTTATGATCAGCCAGTACTTATCAAATGTCCACCATGTGTCTGGCACTCTGGGTTACAGAGGTGATGAAATATAGTTCAATAGATGTAAACTTTAGATGAGCTGTGTTAGTTTTCTATTGCTGCAGTAACAAATGACCATAATTTAGAGGCGTAAGGCAACACCTATTTATTATTTCATAGTTTCTCTGGGTTGGAAATCTGGGTGCAGTGTGACCCAGCTCAGTTCTCTTCCTAGGATCTCAAGGGCAAAATCAAGGAGTCAGCAGGATTGTATTCCTTTCTGGGGGCTTTGGAGAAGAATTGCTTCCAAGCTCATTCAGATGTTTTGGGTGGAATTCAGTTCCTTGTGGCTGTAGGACTGAGATCCCACTTCCTTGCTGACTGTTGGTGTCACACTTAACTCCTAGTGTGGCTACCTAAGTCCCCTCACAAGCTTGCCATGTGGCTCCTCCATCTTCAAGCCAGCAACAGAGCATCAAGTCCTTCTCAGACTGGGATCTCTGTCATCTTGTTCTCCCCTCTCCCTTCTGAAGTCCTTCTCTGCCTCTACTTTTAAGGGCTCATGTGATTACTTTGAGCTCACCCAGATAATCCAGGATAATCTATTTGAAGGTTGACTCATGAGGAACTGCTATGCTCTTGAATGTTTGTCCCCCCAGAATTTAAATGTTGAAGTCCTAACCCCCAAGGTGATGATATTAGGAAGTGGTGTATTTAGGAGGTGAGTAGGTCCACAAAAGAGACCCCGGAGGGGCCTCAGCACCCCTTCTACCATGTGAGGACATAGCTAGAAGGCACCATCTATGAGAAAGTGGGCCCTCACCAAACACCGAGTCTTCTGGCACCTTGATCTTAGACTTTCCAGCCTCCAGAACTGTGAGAAATAAATTTCTGCACTTTATAAGCCACCCAGTTTAGAGTATTTTGTTAGCAGCCCTAATGGACTAAAGCACTAACCTTGATTACTCCTGCAAAGTTGCTTTTGCCGTGTAAAGTAATGTGTTCACAATCCCAGTCCCAGGGGTTATTAGGGCATGCAGTCTTCTAGAAAGCCATAATTCTTCTTACCACACAGTGCTTCTCAAGCATGAATGTGCATGGGAGTCAGCTGCAGAGTGTGTTAAAAATGCAGATTCTGATTCAGTGGGCCTGAATGAGAGTGTCTGTTTCCTACAGGATCCCAGAGGATGCTGCTGCTCGTGGTCTATGGAGTACGTTTTGGGTGGCAGGGCTTTAGGCCAGAGGAAACAAATTTATAGCCCACAGCCCAGGTCAGACCCATGAGAGAATTTCAGTGCATGGAACCTGTGGTTCTCAAACTTAAGAGAATGTCAGTATCACCAGAAAATGTGTTAATATGCGGATTCCTGGGCCTCACTCCCAGGGTTTTTAAGTCAGAAGGTCTGGGGCAAGGCCCAAGAATTTGCATTTCTAATAAGCTCCCAGGTGATGCTGGTCCAGGGACCACACTTCGAGAAGAACTGCATTAAGCCCATTGGTAGCCAGTTATTTTTAGGAGTATTAAGTGAGGGGAGCACTGAATGCCCTCTGGTTATAAAGCCTCATCTTTGAAAGTTGAGTCTCTTTGTCCTTCAACTATGATTATGCCTCTGTGAATCACATCTGAGGTGACACTGTTCCTTCTGTGATCTACCTGCTTTAATTGAAGGGTTTGGATTATCTTTTATATGCCAAGCTGTATGCTTCTGCCTTGGGAACACAATGAAGTGGGTAGATTTAAGAACAGCTTGAACCACTCACATCACTAGTGGCCCCAAACCCATCTTTTAAAATTCAAAAGAATATTTATTGTTTTTATTACAAAAGCAATGCTTGTTTGTTGTAGAAAATATAAATAAAAGAAAAAACATCCTCATCTCACCCAAAGGTAACTACTCTATTTTTTTTAGATCTTTTTCTATACATATCTGTCAATCCAAATATATTTGTAGAGGGTTTTATTTCCAAAAGACCTGGTACAAACTGTGTTGTAACCTACTTTTCTTCCTTAATCTATTGTAAATATTTTTCAGTGTGACCCCTTTGAGCCCCTAGTTTCAACACCCTTTCTCCAATAAATAGAAACAAAATGCTGTGTTTCATTTTTCCTCCTATACACCTGCAGCTGGAGGGAGATTAATGAAAGGAAATGGCTGCAAAGTGGGAAGAGATCAATGCACGATGAGGGTCAAGGAGAAGCAGGCTCCCATGTCCCCAGCAGTGAAGGGCAGCTGTAGTTTGGGGTTGCGGAACCAGCTCCTTCCCACCTTTTGTTTGGAGCCAATGATTCAGCTGAGCACTTCTGGGTCCGGAAATGCCTCAGCACCAGAATCAAGTTCACACGAAAGCTGAATCAGGAGAATTTGTCTCGTTAATGGAGAGCACAGCCACAGGATCAAAAGGGCTAATTTCAGGATAATTCTCCTGAAATCCTGCTAATTTCAGGAGAATTCATTGCTTCCAGAATTTTAGAGTACTGGTAAAGGTGGGTTTGGGGTAAAACCTTACTTTCCTTTCTCTATGAACTACAAAAACCTGCTTTCCAGTGGGTAGCGAATCATGAGGGCCAGAGAAAAGAGTTTAATTGCAAATTTCTTAAGCTTCACCAGTGAACCCACTAGAAATAGACAGTGGACAAAACAGAGCAAGTAAATCCAGGACTCGTGAGTGCAAACGGCTTGTGTGCTACCCCAGAGGATTTCTCCTGTGGCCTGCATTAAATGTGTGAGCTCTAATCACCTGGAGGGATGCATTCCTGGGGCACAGCTTGGCTGAGGCTGGCCATAGCCCCCAGTGTCATGACCTCCTCTTTCTTTTCTGCAGAACGAAGTGATCAGCCAGCAGCTGTGCGTCATCTTCACACACTGCTACGGGCCCTACCCCATCCCCAAGCTCACGGAGATCAAACGGAAACAGACCTCACGCTTGGGTGAGTGGTTCCCCTGGGCCTGTGTTGGCTGCTGCTTTGTGATTTAAGGACGGGGAGCCAAAGAATGCCATAAAAAAGGAGGGAGGTGGTTCAAGGGCAAACAAGGTCGGTTCAGGATTCAGGCCGGGGGAAATCAGGATTTCTCCTTTATTGTGTGATGACACTGGAGAACATACCTTGGGAATGTGGACAAGGAGATTTGCCAATTAAAGGGACTTTCTCCCCTAGACACAGACAGTGGGGGCTGCGGAAGACCTCCTGATTCCATACACAACCCCTGCACAGGTGGCTCCTGAAAGAAGGCCACACTGCACATGGCAGCTCTGTCCCCCAAACTCCCCCCTCTAAAAGTCCTTCTTCCTCACTAAGAAGGAATGAGCGGGAGACAGTGAGGAGGAGCCAGGGCTGTTCCTCTAGTGGAGATCCTTCTACAGGGAAATAAGAGAAAAGGAGAACAAAGCCCCCCCGACACACACACACCCATAAAAATATGAGGGGACATACCTGAGCTGCAGAGGCTGGATGCTCAGAAGTCCCATGACAGTCTCAATAACCTCTTCTTCTGGGAGGCGCTCACTGTGCCGGCTCCAGCCACGCACTTGACCTACCCTATCTCAAGTCATCTCCAGGCCACCCCAAGAGGCAGGCACTGTGACTCATCCTACATTATGGCTGCAATATCAGTACAGGGTGAAGCTGGAACTTGAACCCAGGTGTGCCCAGAAGCCGTAATTTTGTCATTCTGCAGTCCCAGCTTCTGAGATTTTTCAGAAGAAACCTTTCCATCAGGCACGAGGTTCTTTCAGAGGATCCTGGGGCTGTTGCAACCGGGTTGATCAACCTACAGAAAGGAGAAGGAATATCAGGCTGCTTTGAGGCCTGAAACATGAGCCTTCTGTTGGAAGAGCCTCTCTGCCTGCTGCCTGGAGAGTTATAAAATATTAAAGATAAAGGATTCCTTTTCCTTAGATAGGTTGGGGACCTTTCCTACTTCCTGTTTCCCTTTCCTAATAAAGTTGAAGGACATCTGAGTAATAGAAGACTGAAATTTCTACTCTTTAGCAAAATTTGAAAGGGATGAGCCAGTTTAGATTAATTAAAAGGCTGAATTCATGGGACTATTTTAAAGTTATTTTTGTTCCCATCTTGAATAACTTGTTAATTTAAATGAGACACAACTTTTTGCTGAAATGGAAAATTTTAGCAGCTGAGTCAAAGGCTGTCTATCTTTCTGACCACGTGTGGGGGAAAACTGGGATGTGCCCAAGTCACAAGTACTTCTCCCTTATAGGAAATAGGTATTAATTAAAATGTTATCAGGATAATACATTATAAAGACCAGTCAAGTTAGCAAACGTTAGAGAGTGTAGCAAACGTTAGAGAGTGAGGGGTACATTCCCAGGACACAGCAACAATCTCTGATGTCTCGGTGCCTCATAAGACACCATCCTTAGAGCAAACTTTTTGACCTGGCAGTCAGTTTCAGTGGCATAAAATCTGCTTTCCCTTAGCTACAGGTTGGGAGGGAACATTTTCTCCTCCTGAATTTGCTGAAGTTTCTTTCACTAGCAGTTAAAAGTTTCTGATTTGGGGCCGGACATGGTGGCTCATGCCTGTAATCCCAGTACTTTGGGAGGCTGAGGCAGGCAGATCAAATACCATCAACATCCATTGAGCATCTACTATAATGGTCACGTTTATTGAGGGATACTCATGTGTCAGCCATTTTGCTAAGTGCGCTCCATAAATTCATTCATTTATTCCTCACTACTCTTAAGGTCAGGAGTTCAAGACCAGCCTTGCCAACATGGTGAAACCATGTCTCTACTAAAAATACAAAAAATTACCGGGGCGCAGTGGCACATGCCTATAGTCCCAGCTACTCAGGGGGCTGAGGCAGGAGAATCACTTGAACCTGGGAGGTGGAAGTTGCAGTGAGCCAAGATTATGCCACTGCACTCCAGCCTGGGCAACAGAGTGAGACTCCATCTCAAAAAATTTTTTTTAAAAATTTAAGTTCCTGGTTTTCAGCCCAAGCATTAGAATTCCAAGGGTTAGCACCAAAAAGAAAAGAAAAGACCTAAGAGACTCAAAGCTCATGATATGAAAGAAAAAGCATCATGTAATTATTAATGAATGGAATATAGAGCAGGTACATTTTGTGTCTTCAGTCCAGCAGCTCAAGCTAGCATAACTAAAGGTTGCCAAATAGTGGTTCTTTAGGGACCTGCTTTAAAGAAAAGACAAGAATGATTAGTGACAAGGATCTCAAACCAGCATCTCTGTGGGACTAGGCAGGTGATATAAATGAGTGAAATGGGTTCAGCGCTAGACAATAGGGAGTAGTGGGGACTGTGGCAAATCGGAGAGCACTGGTGTGTGTGTGTGTGTGTGTGTGTGTGTGTGTGTGTTATGGTGTCCTCTTGCCCTCCCAGTGAATTCTGGGAGAGAGTGTTAAAAGTGAAAGTAGAGGATATTAATAGTCTGGGAAGCAGGAATGGGGAACTGGCTGGCAGCTGAAGTGGTGTGATAGGTGCAGCCGAGGAGGCAGGTTACTGAGCAGAGAGAAAGTCAAGTGCAGAAATGAGTTTTCGGCCGGGGGTGGCTCAAGCCTGTAATCACCAGCACTCTTTGGGGCGCGACGGGCGATCACGAGGTCAGGAGATCAAGACCATCCTGGCTAACCGGTGAAACCCCGTCTCTACTAAAAAAAAATACAAAAAACTAGCCGGCCGAGATGGCGGGCGCCTGTAGTCCAGCTACTCGGGAGGGCTGAAGGCAGGAGAATGGCGTAAACCCGGAGGCGGAGCTTGCAGTGAGCTGAGATCCGGCCACTGCACTCCAGCCTGGGCCACGAGGGAGACTCCGTCTCAAAAACAAAACAAAAAAAAAACAAAAGAAATGATTCTCACTCTCAGGCCTTCCCTTGCAGCCTCTTTTCCCTTTATCTGGATCATTTCAGAAGTTCTGGGGGGAGTTTTTTAATTAAAATGTTTAAAGAAAGTGGGATTACACAGGTGATTTTTACTGTTTATGCTTTTCTGATATTTTTAAAGTAAGAGCCTTTAAAAAAAAAAAAAAAGAAGAAGAAGAAGTGAGGCAGCTCTGTACCGACAGAGAAAGGTGAGTGGAGGACCACCAGGATCACCGTCTGGGGCAGCACAGGGTTCAGGGTCTGAGTGAAGAAAATCAGTCTGGAAGGCAAATTCTGGGTCCAAGTTACAGCAGTCTGGGGAAAATGCAGCCAGGCCAGGGCCCCAAGGTATAGACAGACAGGGTGAGTCCAACAGCTAAGTGTTCACATCCCCCAGGAAGACAGGAGCTTGGTCCTGCCCTCAATAGTTTAGGACAACCCATAAATCCAGCCAGAGGATGCAGTGGGGTTTCATTTCAGCACAGCCCCTGCACCCCTGGGGAAGGGCCCATCAACAACAAAGGGGCCTAAAGGCTAAGAAGGGCCCCCGGGTCCTCGGCAGCCTCCTAGAACAAGTTTCTGCAACAGGAGTCAAGGCATTATTTCATTCACTCAAAAAACATCCACTGAACCTCTACAAATAGTATTATGGTCATGTCTATTGAGGGATACTCATTTGTCAGCCACTTTGCTAAGTGCTCTCCATAAATTCACTCATTCGTTTATTCCTCACTACTCTGTGATGGAGTATAATGGGTACTGCAATTTCCATTTTACAGAAGGAGAAACTGAGGCATGGGTTGGATAAATAACTTGCCAAGGTTACACAGCTGAGATTTCTAGCCTGAGAATTCATACTGTTATTACACTTCACCACCTTTCTGTACTAGACACAGATGAAAGGGTTTGAAATGGACAGACGTGGATACATCATAGCATGATGAGGCTACAGCAGGGGTGCATATGCTGTGGGAACTCAGCTGGGGCTACTGGGTCTGGGGAAAGTGGGGGAATCTGGCAAGGCTTACTGACCAAGGGCATCTGATCAGTATGTCTGAAACTTGAAGACCACCTAGGGATGAGCCAGGTTTAGAAGGGGCTGGAAGGGTGTTTTAGGTAAAGGAACAATGAGTGCAGAGCCCCAGAGGGGAGAGAGCACATAGCACCCATGGGGAACTGAGAGCCACCCATAGCTCAAGCACACACACAGTTTGACAGGGAGAAGCCAGAGAAGGCAGTGAAACCCAGTCACAAGTAACCTCATTAAGACGTTTAGACTCTATCCTGGGAGCACTTGGGAGTTATTGAATGATCTGTAGCAGAGGAGGGGAGTGGCATGATCAGAGCTAGCTTTAGGAAGGATGGCGCCTGCAGTGAGGTGGGCCGTCAGATTGAGGGGGCCAAGAGTGGAGGCAGAGAGACCAACAGAGGCTCCTGTGAGTTCCCAGGAAGAGAGGATGTGGCCCAAACTAGGGTAATATCAAAGGGAATGGAGGGAAATGGAAGATTCAAGAAACGTAGGACAGGGGGTGTTGATGGATATTCTCAACAAGACAGAAGTGCTGAGCTGAGGACAGATTGGCACCTTCAGGAGCCTCGGGTCTCAAGGGCTGAAATGACAGGCAAATTGGAGGATCCTAGTGTTTAACCAAGCAGGCCATCCAATCAGAATGTCCGAGTTCGAATCGTAGCTTCTCCACCAGTCACTAGCTTGAACAAGTCACTGTAAATTCTGTGTGCCTCAGTTTCTTCAACTGCACAGTGGGGATAATGTGCAACCAGGTTGCATATCATAAGTGCTCAGTAAGTAGAAGCCAAATCTTTATTCTAGAAAATGAGGGCAGGGGACTGGCTCATTTGCCACTGACCCCGGGAGAGAAAGGCTTGGACTTAAATCACCTGGAATGCAGTGGCCAGGGGACAGCTCTTCTAAACCACTTCCTTTGGGCAGGGAGGGTGCTGAGCCCTGAGAGAGAGCAGCAGAGGTGGGGATGAGCGGCATATTCTTAGAGACAGGGTAGGTGGGTGATTACCTTTCACACCTGAAAAGTTCACTCTCGCTATAGGTGAATCTTCTCTGGGGAAATGCTACTTTTAATCACAAATAAGCTATAAGGATTTCCTATGAAAAACTAAATTTCAGTGGCTTGACTGTTCCTCTAATTAGTCCTGTCTGCTGTTTGGTTGCTGTCTTGTCAATGAGTATTTTATCACCAAGATTTCCTTGCTCACTCTTATTTGCACCTTCTACAAGATAAATCCAAACTTCATCCTTTTTTCCACTAAAGCTACCTTTTTTTCCTTTCCAATTCCAGATCCTCATTTTCTTAACAATAAAGAAATGTCTGATGTTACCTTTCTGGTAGAAGGAAGACCATTTTATGCTCACAAAGTGCTGTTATTTACAGCCTCTCCAAGGTATGTATCATCGGTTTTGAAAGCAGCTGCATTATGACTTTGGCTGTTGCTATCACTATTTTTTGAAGTCATTTTTGGTGGTCTCTTCACCAAACTGGCAGATCATCTTAACAAAATAAAGAATTCAAGAGTACAGGGAAGCTGCTAGCATAAACAGCCTAGAACAAGGTGCCTTCTCCTCTGGGCAAATAAAGGAGGCAGGGGGAGCCGAGTTTGGGAGCAGAGCATGGATTTAGATTTTGGCTCCCTCGGCTAGGCGGCCTTGAGCAGTGAACAACCTGAGACCCCACACACAGGAGCCTTGAGGCTGCCACTCTCCAAATGTCAGGGAACAGACTTTGGCATAAGTCACTGAAATACACAGGTCCTGACTTTACTTTTCCCTAACTGTGGAGTTAACAGACAGTAGTATCATGTAGCAATAGGAAGAACTGCTCACCCTCTCTGCTAGCTCTGCAACTGCCTTTCTTCTCCTTTTGAGTAGAGATTGGGTTGACAGTTTAGAACCATATTGTCCAGAGACCTGAACAGGGAGGAGTGAGGCTGGGGCAGAGGAGAGATTGATGCTGAAATGAGGAGGCGGCAGGAGAGAATGATGCCAAAATGAAGAATAGCAAGAGTCCCAGCTGGGTGGTGAGCAGGGGGTACCTGAGTTGGGTAAGGACACTAGGAACCCAGAAATGGAACTCCCTTCCAGGAAGTTTGCTAAGAGAATGTGTGTGACTAGCACTCCCTGCATTTCTAAAAGCATCCAGGAATCTCCAGTCCGCCCACCAAAACCAAACACAAACCCCAGATGTCTGCTTTGCCACCACAAGAAAAATATGTTTTCCCTTACATAGTTTTCAGTCATGACACTGTAGACAGACCAGATCAATATTGTACCAATGTTAGATTCTTAGTTTTGACAAAGGTACCATGGCTGTGTAAGCTGTTAACATTAGGGAAAGCTGGGTGAGGGGTAAACAGGGACTCTCTATATTATCTTTGCAACTCTTCTGTAAATCTATAATTTCAAAAATGAGTTTAAAAAAACAGTTACGTATCAGCTTATTATTAAACATATTATCTGTGTGTTCCATTGATAAGATCTCTACCCACAAAGAGCTTTTAGTTTAGTTGATGGGCAGGAAAGTGCATTGAAAATCCAAGACAGAAAGTCACCCATAAGGGAGATGATTAGGTAGTCAACAAACATTGATTAATTATCTATGATGTGTCAGGTTCATACTGGGACAGGATGTAGGGATGTAGCAGAGACAGAAACCACTGAAGTCCCTGCCCTCGTGGAGCAAAGCGTGTTCCATGGGCACCAGAGAAGGGGGAGTGAAGCCATAGCCCTAGGCTTAAGAGAGATGCCATGAAGGTGGCCGCCACGTGACAGGCCCTGAAAGATGGACTGGGTTTAACAGGCACTCATTCTTTTCCAATCACCAGTTGGAGAATGAATGTAATTGTTCGAAACACTGTTTTTTAACTTTAGAGTTTTAACTTCAAATTAGATTACGGTATAATAGGAGGGTTTAAATTAAGAAATGTAAGGATATACCACTGCTATATTTCAGAGTTGCAGGGGAAGAAACAAAGTCTTTCTATTGTCAGGAGAGCTGAGTTTTTTGTTTGTTTGTTTGTTTTTTGTTTTTGTTTTTTATTTGTGCGAGCCATGGATTTGTGTGTGAGTCCTTTTTATCTCTTTTTTATGTCCTTGTTCAGGTTCAAAGCGCTCCTCTCCAGCAAGCCAACAAATGACAGCACCTGCATAGAGATCGGTTATGTGAAATACTCCATCTTTCAGGTGAGCCCTGGTGCGGCCTGGACTCTGTGCTGGTGGGCATGGGGCACAGGTGGTTGCCTCAGATCCTCAGCCTGAAGATTGGCCACTTGGAGAAGTCCTTAGAATGAACTGTCAGTCTCCTGAACTCCTGGCCCCTGCTCACAGTGCCCCTTCCGTTTCCATCCATTCATCCCTGCAGCATTAACTGAGTGCCTGCTATGCCTGACACTGTGCGAAGGGCTAGGGACACAAGGATAAAGGATGTCCTCTCCTGGGGACTCAGAGTCTGGGGAGGGAGGGCGGTGACTGAGTAATTCATCAATTACAGTATACAGTAGGGTACTCTAGAGGAGTGAGACAATGTACTGCAGCAACTCAGACCAAGGGAAATAAAGACAACCTCCTGGATGAGGTCTTATGAGTCAAAACATCCAAGGCTGAGAAGTTGGTGAGCCACAGGAAGGATAGGGCTCAAGAAAGCTGGTTAGAACATTCCAGGCAAAGAGAACAGCATGTGCGAAGTCCCAAAACTTTGGTTGAGCCCAGCGTCATCAGGAGCTGCTGTGCTTTTAGGGAATTTGTATCATTTTAGCATCAGTCTAAATCTACCCCAATTAGGAAAGGAAGGCTTCTTCGTCCAAGGCCAGATGACATGAGCATGTCTCCTTCTGTTTGGGGGGAGTTCGTGCCATGAACAATGAGTTTTGGTTTATGTGGTTTTTCTGAGGGGCACCGCAGCTTTTTCCTCTTTTCCACCTTCCTTCAGTTATGCCTGATTCATAAATCCTGCTCTGCAACAATGTTCTTGCAGCTAAGAGAAATTCACTCACTCCCCAGCCAGCTTTGCAGCTGTATTTCTACAGCTCCAAGACCCTCCAGGCACATGAAGGCTGTGTAGGCCCCTGGGTCCCACCAGGCTGTCTTCCCACCTTCCAGGGTTTGTAAGACAATGTGGGTGACCTGGGGATAGAGTTTATAGAATGCTGACAGGCAGTTGTTTCTCCTCCAGTTCAATTCAGGAAGGACAGCCCTGGAAAGAGTACCAAGTGGGTAAGACTCAGGCTGGCCATTGAGTTCTAAGAGGGTCGATGAGACAATTCATGCCATTCATTATCACCTCCATGTCCCAGGTTCTTGCAGAGACCAAGTAGGACAACATGAGAAAACCTTCAACTTCACATCTGCTGCATCATGGCAATTTTTAAGTGGGTCGTTGTAGTTCTAAGCCATAACCGATAAACCACTTCCCCACTAAGCATAAGACTCTATAGAATAGGTTCCTTTGGACTAGGAGTTGGAGAAAGGATGAAAGAAATTTCCAGGCCAGGTGCGGTGGCTCATGCCTGTAATCCAAGCATTTTGGGAGGCCAGTGTGGGCTGAGGTGGGAGGATCACTTAAGCCCAGGAGTTCGAGACCAGCCTGATCAACATGGCAAAACCCTGTCTATTAAAAATACAAAAATTAGCTGGGGGTGGTCACATACACACCTGTATTCCCAGTTACTCAGGAGGCTGAGGCTGGAGAATCACTTGAGCCTGAGAGGTCAAGGCACAGAGAGCCATAATCGTGCCACTGCACTCCAGCCTGAACAACAGAACAAGACCCTATCTAAAAAAAAAAAAAAAAAAAAAGTTTCCAAAGATAAGATAAGCCTGGGTGAGCTGTCCTCCTGAGGTCAGGAGAGTAGTGAGGAGGCTGGAGCCCCAAGGTGGGCCTGAGGAGTTGGCATACTCCAGACATCCAAGTGCCCATGTCCCCTCACCCTAGGCCCTCCGCACCATTTTCTACTGAGAGCAAAGTGGTCACAGCCCTTTCCTGAATGGCAGCTATTGGGTTGGAAAGCTGGGTTCGATGCAGCCATGGCTTTGCTTTGGAGGGTGATGAGGAAATGTTTGTGGAACCATGAGTAGTGAAGCACTGATCTGTGCTTACATGTGTTATCTTTTTTTTTTTTTTTTTTTTTGAGAGGGAGAGAGAGGGTCTGGCTCTGTGGCCCAGGCTAGTGTGTAGTGGCACAATCTTGGCTCATGGCAACCTCTACCTCCTGGGTTCAAGCCATCCTCTCACCTCAGCCTCCTGAGTAGCTGGGACTACAGAAGTATTTCATCACACCCAGCTAATTTTTGTACTTTTTATAGAGATGAGGTTTTACCATGTTGCCCAGGCTGGTCTTGAACTCCTGAGCTCAGTCAATTCCCCCACCTTGGTTGGCCTCCCAAAGTGCTAGGATTACAAGCATGAGCTACTGCGCGTGGCATTATCCCCATTTTTATAGATGAAGAAACTGAGGCCCAGAGAAGCTAAATGATGTGCCCAAAGTCTTAGTTCTAGTTAGAGATAGAGCCAGGATTTGAACCCAGCCTGCCTGGTAGCAAAGCATGGGGACATTGTTCTAGAATACCCATTCTAAATGGGAATGTGCTGAGAGTAAGAACAGTTCTCAGGTCTTGAGCACTGTGTGTAAGTCTCGAAGCCAGTGGTTCTGAACCTCAGAGGCACACTAGAATCCCCTGGGAGCTTTGACAATTCCCGATGCCCAGGCCATACATCAGACCAATTAAATCAGAATCTAGGGGTGGGGCCCAGGCATCAGCATTTTGAGGTCTCCCTCACCTCCTCCCAGTATCCCAAAGTGCAACCAAGTTGGAGAACCTGTGCTCTCGGTTACAGCATTTCTTATACATTAGCAGCTCTCAGAGTACCTGGAGAAGGGTGGGGTGCTTGTTAAAACACAGAGAATGTCTTAAAATGCAGATTCCTGGACCCCACCCCCAAACAAAGTTTCTGATTCTGCAGGCGTGAAAATTCACATTTTAACCTTTAGTTTCGGGGGCACATGCGCAAGTTCGTTAGATAAATTGTGTGTCATGGGGGTTTGGTGTTCCGATCATTTTGTCACCCAGGTAGTAAGTATAGCACCCTCCTCCCACCCTCTACCTTTGAGCAGGCCCTGGTGGGTGGCTATTGTTCCCTTCTTTGTGTCCATGTGTACTCAATGTTTGGCCCTCACTTATAAGTGAGAACATGGATGCAGTACATGGATGAAGCTGGATTACAGGCATGAGATGGATAAGTTCAGGTCTCCAGCTCCATCCATGTTGTCACCAAGGACATGATCTCATTCTTTATGGCTGCATAATATTCCATGGTGCATATGCACCACGTCAGGATTCACTTTTTTTTTTTTTTTTTTGAGAAGAGTTTTGCTCTTATTGCCCAGGCTGGAGTGCAATGGCGTGATCTCAGCTCACTGCAACCTCCACCTCCCGGGTTCAGGCGATTCTCCTGCCTCAGCCTCCTGAGTAGCTAGGATAACAAGCGCCTGCCACCACGCCTGACTAATTCTTTTTTGTATTTTTAGGAGAGATGGGGTTTCTCCATGTTGGCCAGGCTGGTCTCGAACTCCTGACCTCAGGTGATCCGCCCGCCTCGGCCTCCCAAAGTGCTGGGATTACAGGCGTGAGCCACTGCGCCCAGCCCAGAATTCACATTTCTAACACGAACCCAGGTGCTTCTGCTGCTGCTCTGGGACCTGTCTCTGAGAACCACTGCTGCCCCTCATTCATTTCATCCTTCCAGCTGCCCTGCGAGGTAGCCATAATCCCCACCTTACAGATGAGGGCACGCACTCAGAGAGGCGGAGTAAGCGGCCCAGGTTCCCACTGCTGCTTCTAGCAGAGCTGAGGTTCAAACCCAGGCCTGGCTGACTCCCAGACCTGTTCTCTTAACTTCCTCCCTTCTATGGGCACCTGGGGCCCCCGCTAAACTCACCCAGCCCTGAGGAAAGAGTCTTCCAGCCCATTCGTCTGGAGCATGAGCTGGAAGCTGGAAAATGTGTGCTCCCCCAGTGCTCATGAAGGGGGAGCTTACACTGTGAAGCCTGGGACTAACTGGGGAGGTTCCTGTAATAAGAATTTGGCTCATAGTAGGCACTCAATAAATGTTTGCCAAGCAGCCTCACCGAACGAGGTCTCCATGGGAAAAGGCAGTCCCTGGAGGAATCCCGGGGCCTGTAATTGCTTTTGACAGGGGAAGGTTTCCTGGCCACATTAGACTCACGTTACTGTAATGGGAAGGGAAGATTTAACAGGCCCCGGGGACTTTTCCATGTTCCCGCCCTTTCCCCATAAAAGAAGAAAAGCCTCATTTGTGGCTTGAAATAGGCCAAGGAGGGCTGAATACGACCCAGCAGGAGGCTCCCAGGGGGCCGGCTCACTTCAGTCCATGCTGACAGAAGAATTTGAGTAAATGAGCCTGCTTCGGGTCTCCTCCCCCAAGTCTGTTTAACATCACACGCCGGCGGCAGGGGCCGGACGCAGCTGAGGCTGCACCTGGAAGTGGGGGCCTCCGCGAGGCTGTGGGTGCCATTTGAATCCCTGCTTCATGCAGGTTGGCAACTGCCAAGAAAAACAACTCCACGAACAGGCCCGCCGGCCTAATAAGCGTTCGTTTCACCCCCTTGCAGAAAGGCTTGTGCCGGCAGAGTTTGAAGGAGCCCGGGCCAGCCCAATTTAAATGGCATTGGCCCCGGGATCTCCGTCCACTAAGGAGCAGTATTTCAAGTCAGCAGCCCCACCTGGACTACATGAGACCGCGTGCTAGAGAAATGCTCTGTAAATGTTCAGGGCGGTCATTATTATGGCTCTTATTGTTATTCGTTTAGCCTTTATAAATGGAAACTGCTAGGTGAATAAATTGATTTTAATAAGGCCCAATTCCAACATTTGCTGACTTGGTATTTTAAATGCTTATGACCCTTCAGGGTGGGAGAGGGGAGAGTAAACAATGCTGTGTTATTTCACAAATCCTCAGGTGCCACCACCATCTCTGCGACAAGCAGATGGTCCCAAGAGCCCAAAGTCGGTAGGTGGGAGAGTCAAACACAGAGAGGCGAGGATTCGTGTTTATGGGCAGGGTGTGCACACTGCAGGCTGTTTGCTTGCTGTGTGCCAGGCCCTAGGATACAGCGATGGGCAAGACCTGGTTGTGCCCTCAGACTCTAGTGAGAAACAACACTGCAATCGAGGATGATGCATGATTGCCTGATGTGACCTGCGGTGGGGTGGAGATCTGAGGAGCCGCTCCACTGCAGATGACCACTGACTAGAACCAGAAGGAGCGGGCAGAGCTCAGTGGGCAGAAGAAGGGGAGGGCATCCTAGCAGAGGGAACAGTGTGGCCAAAAGCACGGGACTAGAAGAGAGGGTGGGAGGTTCTGATGCAGGCAAGCGGTTGAGTGGTCCGAGCATAAAAGGCAACTTTTGGCCGGGCATGGTGACTCACACATGTAATCCCAGTGCTTTGGAAGGCCCAAGGCAGGTTGATCACTTGAGCTCAAGAGTTCAAGACTAGCCTGGGCAACACAGCAAAATCCCGTCTCTACAAAAAATACAAAAATTAGCCATGTGTGGTGGTGCACACCTGTAGTCCCAGCTACTCAGGAGGCTGAAGTGGAAGGATCGCTTGAGCCTGGGAGGCAGAGGTTGCAGTGAGCTATGATCGTACCACTGCACTCCAGCCTGGGTGACAGAGTGAGACCCTGTCTCAAATTAAAAATAAATTAATTAAAATATTAGCCAGGCACGGTGGTGTGTGCCTGTCGTCCTAGCTACTTGGGAGGCCGAGGTGGGGGGATTGCTTGAGCGCAGAAGTTTGAGCTTACAGTGAGCTGTGACCACACCTCTGCACTCCAGCCTGAGTAACAGAATGAGACTCTGTCTAAAATAATGATAAATAAGAATTTCAATAAAGCTGTAAACAGTATTTTAAAAATAACTGAAACACACATGCAAAAAGCAGTCTGAGGCCAGTCGCAAAGGCTTTCAGATGGCCTGGGTGAGAACAAGGCAGCATGTAGCAGAAACAAAGGACAAGATGTTTCAGTCTCAGAGAAGATTAAAGAGCTGACATTTGCAGAGGGCTTGCTGTGTGCCAGGCCCCTGCTAGGCCTGTACTGTGCAGTGACTCGTTTAGTCTTCATCACAATTCCATGAGGAAGGTAACATTATCCCCACTCCACAGATAGGAAACTGAGACACACAGAGCCTAACTTAATTCAGGTCCCGCAGCTTTTAAGTGGCAGAGCCAGATCAGAAACTGAGGCAGCCCAACTCTAGGCTCATTGCACTTAGTCGGTGTCCTATATTGGTCACAGACTGTCAGCCTGAAGGGACCATCAAGGACAGCCCAGTCTAGGCTCATTTTACAAGTACCCCAAAAAGGGAGGAAACCAGTCTAGATTTCACCCACACAGCTGCCTGAGAGCCAGGGAGGTAAAGTGAGTTTGTCAAGCATGCAGGTAGAAGACAATAGGGGCCAGGCGTGGTGGCTCACACCTGTAATTCTAGCACTTTGGGAGGCCGAGGTGGGTGGATTGCCTGAGCTCGGTAGTTCAAGACCAGCCTGGGCAACAGAGTGAAACCCGGTCTCTACTAAAATACAGAAAACTAGCCGGGCGTGGTGGCGTGCGCCTGTAGTCCTAGCTACTTGGGAGGCTGAGGCAGGAGAATTGCTTGAACCCAGGAGTTGGAGGTTGCAGTGAGCCAAGATTGCGCCACTGCACTCCAGCCTGGGCAACAGAACAAGACTCCATCTCCCCCCACCCCCAACATACACACGCAAAGACAATAGGAAGTGAAGGAGACTGGGACTGGGACAAACCACCTAAAAAATTAACACCCAGTTGTCGTAGGAGATAAGATAGCAAAGTCAGATACATCCATGGGCCCCAGTCCATTCAAGGGACACCAGTTTGCAAAGCTCTGGAAACTTTGCCTGCTGTTTGGGTATCGTGAGTCACATGAATAAAGAACATCCGGGCTAGGGCCATTGACATCGTCAGTGATACACAGAAACCCTGGACCCCTCATGGCTTTGCCTTGGGGCTCGGCACATTGTAATAAGGAGCAGATGGCCCTGTGGCATCCCAGAGTCACCTTCTGGGACTTCAACAGGTGGCTTTGAGTCAAACTGGGCCATGTTAGCAGGGAACAGCCCTCTGGTGCAGGCTCTTCAAGCCACACCACGTGTGCAGCAGTTCCGCGCAGCATAACTGGGGTGGGAGATGGGAGAGGAACCCGTGATTATCATGCATACATGAAAAAGCTGTCATGAGGAGCAGTAGCTTAGGGTTGTTTAGTTTGGTCTTGGGGGTGGGCATGGAACCGGGGGTAGGAAACCATATGGAGGCAAGTTTCAACATGGTATCAAACTATCTGACTGATGAAACTGTTCAAAACGGACAGTCTTCTCCCCCTTAAAGTAGTGAGCTCTTGGTCACTGGTGACATGGAAATGGGCAACCATTTGGAATGGATGTCCTAGAGGTGTCAAGAACTAAGCCTGAGCTGGGACATCCACCGAATGGTTTTAAGATGATGTGTCTTTGCCCTTGACACTGTTCTCTGTGCTTTCTTCCAGCTGGTTATGCAGTATCTCTACTACGGTGGCCCAGAGTCACTGCTCATTAAGAACAATGAGATCATGGAGGTAAGGGATCCATCGTGGTGGTGGCTGTCACAAGTCCCTTGGGTGAGTGGCACCACCAGAGGTCACCAGCGTGCAAGGAAGTGTCTGGAAGGACCCGTGTTGGGTTTTCATTTGGATGAAGACTTGGGGCTCTTGTTCCGTCCTGACTCCTCAGTCCTCCCAGACAGGAAGGGCTTCTCATCAGAGACCTTCCCTGGCAGGCTGGGGTGCTAGTGCACTTGCTTGCCCGACTGCTTTCAGTAGCCACTGAGTGAAACCCAATTTTAACTGGCATTGGTGGTAGCGGGGCAGGGAAGGGAAGGAATTTGACTGAAAAGTCTGAGGCTACAGCTGAGGCTCTAATAGTGATATCATCAGGAAATATCCTAGATGACGTCTTCTCCCTTGTCACTTATAAAAATATTATATCCCCTAAAAACATCCCTCATCACAACACTGTCTGTTCTTCCAAGATGCAGAAGTGGAGGGCAGATTACAGTCTCCTCCGGGCTTTCCTCAGACTGAGCATCCCACAGTCAGGCAGCTCACACCTGCTTCCTTCACTCTCCCCCGTCCCCTGTCCACCTCTGGTAATTCGACCAGCTCTAGCCCCGCCTATCCAGGAGCCTTGTTTCTGCCTGATTTTGTCCAAAGCCAAGATTTTCTCCTGTTCCTTGCCAAAAGTGGAAATCTTGTTCATTTTCCTAATCAAAACTGGGAACTTTGAACCAGAAGCCAAAAATCACCCCCAATTAATCCTCAGCAAAAGAGCCAGGATCACAGTCAGTTGTCTGACGTCCAGGGTGCCTGGCTGACATCCAGGTGCCTGGCTGACGAGAGATGTCAGGACACAATCAACTGTTCAAGAGCAGACCTCACACAGTGGTTACAACACGGATGCTGTGCCAGACTTGTCTAAATCCAGGCTTTAGAGCTTCTGAGCTGTGTGACTGTGGACAAGTTATTTAACCTCAAATCCTCAGCTTCCTCGCCTGTAAAATGGGGATAACTATCTACCTCATTGGGTTTTTCAGAGGATCTTAAAAAATTGTTAAGGTGCTTAGAACAATGCCTGGCACATAGTGATTGTGATTAGGACTATGTATTCACTGCAGGCCCACTTGTCCTTTCTTCTTACTCTGTGAAACCTTCCGTGGTAACTCTCTCCCCACCCAAACATGCACAAATGCAGACACACATGGACACACAGTGACTCTCTTGTCTCCCTGGACTACTCCTCTGATGGTTTTATTCTCAAGGATGTGGGCTCGTTTGTAAACAAAAGTGCGGTGGTGTTTACAACTAATTTTTTTTTTTAAACAGAGTCTCACTCTGCCCCCAGGCTGGAGTGCAGTGGTGTGATTTTGGCTTACTGCAACCTCCGCCTCCTGGGTTCATGCCATTCTCCTGCCTCAGCCTCCCGAGTAGCTGGGATTACAGGCAGCTGCCACCATGCCCAGATAATTTTTTGTGTTTTTAGTAGAGACGGGGTTTCACCATGTTGGCCAGATGGTCTCGAACTCCTGACCTCAGCCTCCCAAAGTGTTGGGATTACAGGCGTGAGCCACTGCACCCGGCTGTTTACAACAAATTGATCACAACCAGTTATGAATTTCTGTGTTCCTTCTCCACTCCCACTGCTTCATTTGTCTAGCCTTAACAAAAATAAAAATAAATAAAATAATTTTAACTAAAAATAAGGAATATACATTTAAATCATTTCAATCATACAGAAGGGTTTTGAATACAGAGCAGCTGCCCGGGCCCACCCTGCCCTCCCTCCAGTCCCCGTTCCCAAAACCAGTCCTTTGAACTGTTGCTCTCAGCTCTTCCATCCCCTCCCCAAAGCCTGTCGTTCTCTCAACACACATCTGTTGAGCATCTCCTAGGCCGGCACTGTACTCTGGGCCAGGCTACAGCAGCGATGAAAACTGACACAGATCCCTGCCCTCCTGGACTCTAGTGAGGGAGGCAGCCATGACGTCACACCTGGTGTGCTGTGACTGTGAGGAGTGAGACAGGGCAAGGAGGAAAGGAGGATAGATGGAGTAGAGGGAGGCTCCTCTGAGGAGGCGACATCTGGGTGGAGACCCGGCCAACAGAGGGAGTGAGCCACCTCGATATCCAGCTTGCTGATAATGCCCTGATTTTCACCCTTGTTTCTGGACATAACAATTTTGGGCATTTTGGGTTGACCTCCTGCTGTGATGGGTATGAATTGAGTTTGTTTAGTCCTCCCCTCTTCCCCCACGACGGAATCCTATCTTTGTCCTCTTCCTCTAATGTTACCTTTGTGCATCATTTTCTGTCCTCCACCCTTGACGCTGCTGTGGAAGATGAGGATAAGACTGTCTTACCACTGTGGTTCCTTACTGTTACCTCCTTTCCCTCCACCTCCCAGCCTCTAACAGACTCTTTTTGTTGTTTTTAGCTTCTGTCTGCTGCTAAGTTTTTCCAGCTGGAGGCTTTGCAGCGACACTGTGAGATCATCTGTGCGAAAAGCATCAATACCGACAACTGTGTGGATATTTACAACCATGCCAAGGTAATCAATCTTATTCTTGCGCAGTGCGCACACAGGAGCACTGAAGCCGCGGAGGCTTTTCCTTGGCAAACACAGAGGCAGGGCAGAGAGCGGGTGCTGGGCCAGTTCTCTGAAGGCTAAGCCGCTGGCTTCTGCCAAGATCTGCTTCCTGCTCTAGAAAAGATGCCTTCCACCTCCCCACCCAGAACAAGGAAGGGAGGAGCCCAGAAGTTTCAAAGGCAGAGTTCTCAAACAGTGCTTCGCAAACTCTCGCGTGCATAGGACTCATGTCACAGACTCCGGTTCCATAGACTGGGATGGGCCTGTTCAGCTTTTCTGACAAGCTCCCAGGTGATGTCTCTGCTGATGATCTAAGGGACACCTTCTAAGGTTCTAGAACAGTGGTTCTCCAATCCAGCAGCACCAGGGAACTTGTCGGAAAGGTACATTTTCAGGCCATACCCCAGACCTACTGAATCAGAAACTTGAGGGGGACCCAGCCACCTGTGGCTTTGCATGCCCTCCAGCTGATTCTAATGCGTGCTCAGGGGTGAGAACCGCCCTTCCAGAATTGTTCTCAATGCCAGCTGCATGTTAGAATCACCTGGGGACTACTTAAACTTCCTATGCCTGGGACCCATCACAGACTAATCAGTCAGCCTCTGGGAGTGGAACCTGGAGAAAGGCAGCTTTCAAAGCTTCCCAGGTGATGCTCAGATGTGGCCAAGATTGAGAACAGGCTGTAAGCACCGCTGAAGTCTTTGGCATCTGCTTAATCAGGTGGACCCAACACCTGGCTACGAATTAGAATCACCTGGGGGAGCTTTCGGAATGCCAGTGTAGTCCCCCATCCCTGACGACCTCAGCAGTATCCCCTCAGGGAGCCCAGAAATCTCTATTTTTAACAAGCTGCTAGAGTGACATCAGCCCTCAAAGCAGTCTTCACTCCAGTTTTCAGGAACCACTGATTTCATCCAATTCACTTCATCAGTGGGGAGACTGGGCCCAAGAGAAGTAAAATACTTTGTCCAGGTACCACTGCATTTTGTTCCACGTGCTGAGCACGGGGGCATTAACAGTTCCAGCAAGAAACAATAAAACCCGTTAAGATGAGGAGTTAGGTTGATTGATTGATTGATTGATGAGATAGAGTTTCACTCTTGTTGCCCAGGCTGAAGTGCAATGGTGTAATCTAGGCTCACTGCAACCTCCTCCTGGGTTCAAGCAATTCTCCTGCCTCAGCCTCCCAAATAGCTGGGATTACAGGCATTAGCCACCGCACCCAGCCAAGATGAAGAGTTATTTTAGGAGTTCACAACAAAATTTTCCTGTTTTATATAACTGGAGCCCAGTACACATGACTCCCATATCACACACAGCTCTGGACAGTAACAGTGCACGTGAATGACGCTCCTATTGCTTGTTGCAAAAAATCAGATTGCATGTGAGATGCTACTTGCTTAAGACAGCATTCAGTGAGCCCTTTTAATGTGCAGGCACCTGTGCTAAGAGCCTTGTTGCATCTTGTTTTTTAATCTTCACTACAACCCTTTTAGGTAAATACTACACTAGTCCCATGTCATCATAAGGAGACTGAAGCACAGAGAGGTGAAGTAGCTTGCTTAAGGTCACACAGCTAGTAATGAGATTTCTGTATTATGGTAAAATGTACATAACATAGAATTTGCCACTTTAACCATTTTTAAGTATACAGTTCAGTGGTATTAGGTACATTTGATTGTTGTGCAACCATCACTACCATTCATCTATAGAATTTTTTCATCTTTCCAAACTGATACTATACCCTTTCAACACCAATTCCTCATTCCTCCCCTCCCCCAGGCCCTGGTATTCACCATTCTACTTCCTGTCTCTATGAATTTGACTACTCAAGGGATGTCACATAAGTGGAATCATACAATATGTGTCTTTTTGTGACTGATTTATTTCACTTAGCATAATGTCCTCAAGGTTCATCCATATTGTAGCATGCGTCAGAATTTCTTCTTTAAGGATGAATAATATTTCACTGTATGTACATGCCATATTTTGTTTATTCATCTATCAATAGACACTTTGGTTGCTTCCACTTTTTGGTTATTGTGAACAATATTGTGTTGCTGTGAACATGGGTGTACAAATATCTGTTCAAATCCCTGCCTTTTTTTTTTTTTTTTTTTTTTGACACAGAGTCTCGCTCTGTCACTCAGGCTGGAGTACAGTGACATGATCTCGGCTCACTGTAACCTTTGCCTCCCAGGTTCAAGCGATTCTCCTGCCTCAGCCTCCTGAGTAGCTGGGACCACGAGCATGCGCCACCATGCCTGGCTAATTTTTGTATTTTTATTAGAGACAGATGCTTGCCATGTTAGCCAAGCTGGTCTTGAACTCCTGACCTCAGGTGATCCACCAGCCTCAGCCTCCCAAAGTGCTGGGATTACAGACGTGAGCCACCGCGCCTGGCCTCAAATTTGTGCTTTCAGTTATTTGGGGTATATCCCCAGAAGTGTAGTACTGAGACTTCTGAACCCAGATTTGTCTCACTCCAAAGCATAGGTTCTTAACCCTGTGTTTACTGTCTGGCTTAATAAATGTTGGAAATATTTTCAATAATCTTTGATACTCAAGATTTTCTGATTGGCTATCAGTAAATCAAAAAGTACAGTCAGTCTACATTGTACACACACACACACACACACACACACACACACACACACTTGGGTTCTAGTTAAATGAAGATTATACCAAAATCTGGTTTCTCAGGACACAAGCTTTTTTTTTTCAATCTTAAACTGATTACTTTGCAGAAGAGAGGTCTCTTTCTCTGCACCAAGGCAGAGAGCCTGATTAGCCTTGTGCTCCTCTGCGCTCCTCTGCCCTCCTCCTTGACCATGGTCACTCAAATTGCCCCATGAACTTGACATCCACGGTGGCTTTTCTGTGGCCTACCACCTTGGCAGCGAGGCCTGTTTCACAATCCCATTTTAATCTTTTCAAGTTTGTTGGCAGGCAGCTTCTGTAGCATATCTTGTGATTTAATAATGTCGCCTGATGCAATGTGAGCCCCGGCTGGGAGTACAGGCTTAGAACACCTATGGCAGAGAAACTGCCTCTTTCATACATACATATATACATATATATATACCTACAGACATGCTTTGCAGATAGGGCTTTGGCTTTTACGGACACCAGCTCTGCCTCAGACATCCAGGCCACTACCTGGAGTGTTTCCAAGAGAAATATCTGCCCTTCGTGATAGTCACCTGGAGGGCAGTGCAATGCCAGCCGCCCCCTGCCCTTTCTGTGCACTGCTTCCCCTGTGCTGTGGATGCTGCAGTCTGCTAACGGCCACACACCATGTGGATTCGATGACTGGCAGATTGTGCTGCAAATAGAGGCTAGTTTAGGAAAAAGAGTGATAAAGAGAGAAACCAACACTTAGCATTTGTAACTCCAGGCAATACAGGCGTTTAGATGCTAAGAGCCACGTTCCAAATGTCGACGACGACCTCCACAACGTTACCTCTGTATTACATCTAACCGCTTGAGACAGCTGCAGAATTTTATACAGAGGAGAAACCCATTCCACAAATGCATGGCTTAGCCATCTGTTTTTTCCTAGTAAACCTGTACCAAACTATTCAGTTATGAAAAGAGGCCCTGGAGCTTCTTGTGGCCCTTTCAGCATGTCTCTTGAGAAAAAGAACAAGCTGGTTCATCAGACTGAATTTCAGCTGTTGTGGTTAAGCTCAACAGTGCATCATGATGGAAAGAACACAGGTTTGGAAACCAAAGGATTTTTTCGCTAGTGTTTATTGAGTAGCCAGTATTTCCTAGGAGCTGTATTCATCAGAATATAATACAATATTCTGAATATAATATAATATTCAGAATATAATACGAAATTAGAGGAGCCGGGCGCAGTGGCTCACGCCTGTAATCCCAGCACTTTGGAAGGCTGAGGTGGGAGGATCACTTAAGGCCAGGAGTTTGAGACCAGCCCGAGCAACATAGTGAAACCCCATCTCTATAAAAAGAAATACAAAAAAAAAAAAAAATTGCTGGGCATGCTGGCGCGCACCTCTAGTCCCAGCTACTCAGAAGGCAGGAGGATCACCTGAGCCCTGGAGGTCAAGGCTGCAGTAAGCAGAGATCATGCCATCATACTCCAGCCTGAGCCACAGGATGAGGCTCTGTCTAAAAAAAAAAAAAAAAAAAAAAAAAAAATTAGACATGGTCTCTGCCCTTGAAAAAATTACAGTCTAGGACAAGGGCCAGATAATATTTTCAACTTTCCAGACCACACAGTTGGCTTTGTACCTACTCAATTTTGCAAAAAGCAGCCAAAGAATTTGTAAATGAATGGTATGGTATGGCTGTGTTCCAATAAAACTTTATTTATAAAAACAGGTGGTGGGCCATATTTGGCCTTCAGGCCTATAGTTTGCCAACCACTGGTCTTGGGGATGAGAGCTCCAATCCCAGTTCTGTTAGTAATTAGTTGTGTGGAGATAGGCCAGAGGTTGATATACAGTCACCATTCAATAAATACTATCAAATATTATCAATATAGGTATATATTATGCTTTTATTTTCCACTAACATGTGCTGAATGACACTAATCTACAAAGCAAGTGCCAGGTGTGCTGGTGGGGGGTGCTCACTGTGTCCTCAGAATCAGATTGGCAACTCTGAGCCTCAGTTCCCTCACCTGTACCAGGAAGCCTTGTACTCTGTGATTCTAAGAGCAGGATTCATGTTGAAAGAATGAAAAGATTTCTAAGCCAGGTGCAGTGGCTCACACCTGTAATCTCAACACTTTGGGAGGCCCACCTTGGAGGCTGAGGCAGAAGAATCACTTGAACCCTAGAGGTGGAGGTTGCAGTGAGCCAAGATCATGCCACTGCGCTCCAGCCTGGGCAACAGTAAAACTCTGTCTCAAAAAAATAAGAATGAAAGGATTGCTAAGATCTCTCTCAGTTCCAGAGTTCCAGGATTTGTGCATCTATGTGGACATTTGTGGGATAACTAGTCCACTCACTGATAAACTTCATCAAGCTTTATAAGCCTCTTGGAGACCACAGAATTACCACATGCATCCCTGTCCTAAATGGCACAGCAGAGCACAATACCCCTGTAGTCCACCCCTTGCTTTTGTAACTTGGAAAACTGAGGCCCAGAGAAGTGATTTGATTGGCACGAGGCCAAGGAATGGAGGAATGGACTCCAGCCCTTTGACAGGATGAGCTGCAAAGTCACACCCCATGGGTGTGTGCTGGGAAATCAGAGACATTCTGCAGCCAGTCTTCCTTAGCAGGTGTGCGCCATTATTAGCTCTGAAGGCATAATCTGAAAGGTGCTTTTCAGAAGCATAACCATCTCCCATTTCCTCTCCATTCTCCACAGTTTCTTGGCGTCACGGAGCTCTCAGCATATTGCGAAGGCTACTTTCTCAAAAACATGATGGTCCTCATTGAAAACGAAGCATTCAAGCAGCTCCTGTATGACAAAAATGGTGAAGGGACCGGCCAGGATGTGCTCCAGGACTTACAGAGGACGTTGGCCATCAGAATTCAGTCCATTCACTTGTCATCTTCCAAAGGTTCCGTGGTTTGAAATGCCCAGTGCAGCGAATGCTTCCCGGGAACCTTCCAGTTCTCCTGCCGCATTGGCTTTACACAAACACAGACAAATTCCACCTGGCACCTGTTTTTGGCTGGGCCAAGGAGCTGCCTCTACTGCTCCCACGTGTTCCTGCTGAAAAACAAAGGACTTTCCACCGGTCTGCAGATCAGATCAGCTGGGTCCAGAGCTTAATGGGCAACTGGACAACCAAGTTAACCCCAACCGAAAGCACCCCTAGGACCTTTGAACACCCACTGCCGGGGACCACTGTCGAATGAATGGATTGAGGCCTTTCAAAGGTCACTCAGGTTCCAGGTTGACAGTTGGAGGACTTCACCGTACCGATCCTGAAGAGATTGTATTACACATTGAGGACCTTGGTAGCTGTGCTTCAGCAAACGTCAACCATGGTAGCAAATTGGTGAGGCTGTGACCCATAATGAGGAAATAATTTGGCAAATTTTTAGGGGTGGGAACTTTTTAAAATGTTCATTTAAAAAAAACAAAAACAAAAACAGGGCAGTCTTGTAGTTTAAAATATATTTCTAAAAGCTTAACAGTTCGTTTTCAACTAAATTGTGTTTAGGGATCTGTGTTTTGAGATTTTTCTTTCTTTTTTTTTTTTAAATAGTAAGTCACAGGTCCACACTGTGTAAACATGCATCTGATAAGATACTGCTGATATTCTAAACAAGTCGAAATAATCTTGCCTTAGTGATCATGATTACACAAAAGAGGTGCACTGCCAATAAGTATCTCTAATTCAATAGTTGAAAACAACCTGCATGCTAATCGTGGTTTCGGGGTGAGAATAAAACACCCCCACATAACATGCATTTGCATGGGTCCGAACCTGTGAAATGTTACGTTTGTGCTTCATTTTTGCCAACGTAAAAATGTTCCATCATTTCTAGCTAAAACTCCATTTGGTGAAACTAACATATCCATTTCTTTTCCTAGTTATGGATGATTTGGGGATGCTTTTGCAGAAATGTGTTCATAGATGATGCTGAATTGGGGGGAGGGGGGCAGCACGTCAGAGAATTTACTATTAATCCCAGAGTTTTCTCTGTATTCTCAGAAGATGTTAATAGTTTGTTACTAGCCAGAGAGTATGACTATGTTAGATTATTTTTAAAGATGAAACATGTATGATAGGATGGATTCTTTCTGTATTCTGAGAGTGTACAGTATAGGATTATTATAATGAAAGTTTATATCAACAGGGTTTCGTTGGCTCTGCCATATATTATAAGCAAAAGAGATTGGTAAAGTGCCACAGTATTCCAGATAACTTTTCAGTTGCGGCCTTTCTTCTCGTTCTTTAATTTGAAACCTAGATACATGCAGTAAAAACTAGGAGAATGACTTTTACCCTTGGGGACGGCCAAGTTTTGTTGATAAACCTATTTCCTAGCATGCCTTCAGGAAGTTGCGCCAGACCCTAGATTGTGAAGGAGCCACTGTTCTTCTGTTGTACGAGCTCCCTGAACCATTGTTCAGAGGACCAACGTAACATCGCTTCATGGGCATGGCCCATGGAGCATCTGGGTGACATCTGTCTACAGTATTGGCTCTTCTGCGAGGCTGATACACAAGGCCTCTCTTCCACATGGTCATTTGCAAACCTCCCCCAGCCCCTACCATCCAATGTGGAAGGAAAACAAGAACTGCCTGAAGAAGAGTCCAAGCTACAGATACACAGCGTGTGCATCGCGGCTGTCACCTTCCTCCTCCCTCTTCTGTATCCTCAGAGATGCTGCGTGGATGTTTCCTTAACCTCAGCTGACTTCCCTGTGAATGTCTTAATGCTAGTTCAGGGCCTCCAGGCATTGATTTGTACAGTGGCAACTCCCAATGGGGCTTCTGTTATCATTTGTGTGCTTTCTCTGTCATTAAAAGAAATGATTTTCCCAGGCCGTGCACCATGTGTGTGGTTTGAGTGAGCTCTTTATCCCAACAGTTCAAGCCTCAGAACTTCACTCGGTGAAGAGATTGGACAATGTGGTCCCGCAGAAAAAGTCAAGGGAAATGAAGACGCTAGATAAAAGACAAATGTTCCTGTTGCTGGCGGTGTGGCAGCCAAGCCCTAGTGATCTTTTTCACATCAGGCAGAGAAGCTACAGGTGCCACCACCTGGGCCACCGCCATAGCACTGCCTAAGGCAGAGAACTCGCCTGCAGAGGGTGGAGTTCTGGCTGTCACTCGTGTGCCTGGATGACACTTTTTGAGGATGGGGGGATGAGAAAGACAAGTTATCTCCACGTGGTGGGTCCCCACCAAGGGCCAGCGTGAGCTGATGCTAGGGGATGGTGGCAGCATTATGGGATGGGGGTGGGGGTCACGGAGGGACAGGCAGCTCTCTTCCTGGGTGTCATCATTGCTGAGGTCAAACCAAGTCCCCAGGGGCTCTGCTGTGGCTCCTGACCCAGCCTGGGCCCAACCCAGGCATGTGGGCAGATGAATCGCCCTGGCCAATCCACAAAAGCCTACAAGCAGGTCTGGGGAGAGGCCCAGCCAGCCCTGGGAGACCTGGGCCAGTGAGGCCCGGTAGAGAGCTCACAGCGCCCCACCTCCCGGAAATGACTGCTCAAGCCCGCTTAGCAATCCAGGTCTGTTCCTTCTCTAGGAAGCAACCCAGTGCCAGGGCCAGAACTGAGTCAGGCCAGGAAAGCAGAAGGTCGGTTTATTTTTGACTGTGTGTCGCCCTCGGTGTGGCCTCAGGGTGAGTAGGCATTTTTGACTTACTACTTTTAGGATGCTAAAGTGCATGCTACCCCATTCGCCTTGTACTTGTCTGACAGGTGGCTTTGACATTCAGGCCTCAGCAAAGCCCATGCAGGGGCCCATTAGCATCTTAGGGTGTGGAGGAAAGCGTGGGGCGAGGCGGGGTGGGGGGCGTTGCCTGCCACAGGTTCCCTCCGCCCCTTCCATTTGCAATGGGGCACTGGAAGGAGTGTGTTCGTGCAGGCGCCCCCAAGAAACACAAGGACCCGACTTAGTTTCTGTGCCCACCCCCATGGCCATTGGTCTTACATATACCATACCTGGATATCATTCATTCTCCTCAAAAGAAGGAGAATCCACTGAAAATGAAGATCAGGATGTGAGCTCCCATCACGGAGATGCCCAGGCAGAAACCGGAAGATGATGCAGTCAGGCATGGGGGCGGGGTTGAAGGAGGAGCTCTGGGACCTCCCCCACCCTGAGATTCTGCGATTCTGCTTTTGTTCTGTGTTCCCCGTTCTGCGATTCTGCTTTTGGATCTCACATTGTTTCTTCCTGTAAAGCCCCAGGCAAAAAGTGCTATTCGACTGCATGTTGTCATACCAAGACTTTTATCACACAGTGTTTTGCTAGCATCGGGCTGTGTGGATAAAGGGTTCTTTGAGAAAGTCTATTTCACCAGTCTTGAGTCCTCTGGCTTCAGAATTCAGCGTCCATCTCCCTCCACCCCCACCTTGCGTCAGAGATGAATGAATAGTGGCAGAAGGGCTCACATTCTCCCACTTATAGTTCTTTCTGCCTGGCCCCTACACAGCCTCCATGGCCAGCAGTTTCCTGGGTTTCTCCACTCAGGGAGACATCTATTGAGCACCTTCTGTTGGCAGCACTGATTGCTGAGCCCTGGACTCCAGCACAGACCTGAAAACCCTGTTCCGACTGGATTCAACCCCCGACTAGCTTTGAGACTTTGGACAAGTTACTTACTCTATCTAGTATTCACCTTCCTCTTTCAAAAAAAAAAAAAGGGTTTAACTATAACTAGTGGCCGGCCGCTGTGGCTCACGCCTGTATTCTCAACACTTTGGGAGGCCAAGGTGGGCAGATCACTTGAGATCAGGAGTTCGAGACCAGCCTGGCCAACATGGCACAACCCCATCTCTACTAAAAATACAAAAATTAATGGGGCGTGGTGGCAGGCACCTGCAATCCCAGCTACTCGGGGAGGCTGAGGCAGGAGAATCGCTTGAACCTGGGAGGCAGAGGTTGCAGTGAACCAAGATTGTGCCACTGCACTCCAGCCTGGGCAACAGAGCGAGACTCCGTCTCAAAAAGAAAAAAATAAAACCACTATAACTAGTGAATAGTGTTGTTGGGAGGATTAAAGGAGATAGTTTGTATGAGTCTCACATTGTTAATAGCAGGCAAAAGGCTTTTCTAAACTTCTAAGACTGAGCAGAAGGAAGGGGAAATTGATGATTCATACAAGGAAAGGAAGGCTAATGACTATGCCTTCATTTCTAGAACTTTCTACAGGAGCGGTTCCCATGGTGATTTGTGATTCTCTAGGGTTTTGCTACTTATTCTGAGGAGTATAGGAGAATTCCCCCACAACTGAGCTCTTTTGTGATTCTAGTTCCTAGCACAGTGCTTCACACAAAGTAATCAAGAAATGTTTGCAAATAGAAGCCAAGTACACCTGGATGTCCTTTCATATAAACATGGTATTTTCAAAAGATTCGAATTGCAGGGATTCACTCTTCCAAATTCCTTGGAAGAGAATACACAGGAATGTGAGATTCACATGTGTGACTTGGATGACACAAGACTCCCATGGTGTGTGTCTAAGGTCCAAGACCCCACAAATGGCTGAGCAGGGCCCACACCCACCAGAGCCAACTCTCAGTCTAGGGTTTGAGGACCACGACTCTGTCGAGAGGGAGAGGGTAGCCACAAACCCCAGATGAAACAAACTGTTAGATATCCCTCCAGAAAAATCTGGGACTGCTGTCCTCCTCAAGTTAGCAGGCAAGCCCATATGCCCTGTGCTGCCGCTTGAGTGTATGGACACTCATCCCTGCCCCCACTCCACCAAGAAACCTCCCTGGTGGAACTTCACGTCACCTCCGTTCCTTCCAGCCTGGCCAATGCCTTGAATAAAGCAGCACGTGCCTTTGGCTGGGGCCACTGCAGAAGCTGCTATGATGCCTATTTTTTCCACCCTCTTTAAAAATAACTCAACAGATTTTGAACTTCCTGCTTGGCAGAAAAAAAATAGAACTCATACTCAGCAATCACATCGTGCTTTAGTTCCCATCACTGATGAGGCAGGCAGATAACGAGTGCCCTGTGAAAGGACACATCTCCAAGTTTAGCCCTGAATCTGAAAAGACAATCTGTCTGTGTGAATAGGCAATTAGAAGAGATGCCCTGATGTCACTGATGCGTTCTCTGGATGTTGCTTTTCAGAGTTAACCTTCAGATGAGTTCTGAATTTTAATGCTGTGGAAAACCTCTGGGATGAAGAGCTACAAAGGGAAGAGGCTGATTGGTACAATGGAGGGGCTCTGTGCTGGGCACCACATCTCACCCCTGACCCTGAATCTGTCATCTGCTACCTGGGTGACCTTGTTCAGGCCTCTTCTCCATCTGGACCTGTTTCCTCAACTCCTTCTAACTTGATGTCCTGTGAGCCTAGACCGGAACCTGTCACACTCTCCTTACCACGCTCCTATATTAGAGCCTTGTGAGAACATCATTTTGTGTAATAGAACATTCTAGATTGCAACCAGGAGGATTTAGCAAAAAGGACCTCTTTCATCATTTCACAATGATGCCTTCAGCAAAACAGGCTCCCAGCAGGAAACCAGATAAAGCGTTAGAATGAGGCTTCAGCTATCTTATCACGAAGATGGCATCTCTCTAGATCATTGCTACATGACTACCATCTCCTTTTTGGTTTTGGGTTTTGTTTTGTTTTTTTTCACTTTTTATTTTGAAACAATTACAGATTCGCAGGAAGTTGCAAAGATAATATAGAGTAACCAAATGGTGACATCTTAGATAAATCTAGTACAATATCCAAACCAGGAAGTTGACATCGCTACAATGTGTGTGTATCATTCTGTGACATCTTGTCAGGTGTGGATTCATGTAACCACCACCAAGGTCACTCTTCTCTCACTACAAAGATCTCCCTCATGCTACCCCTTTGGAATCACTCTGGCCCTTCCTCCACCAACTTCATCCCAAACCCCTGACAACCACTAATCTGTTTTCCATCTCTATAGTTTTGTTATTTCAAGAATGTTATGTCAATGAGACCATATAGTAAGTGGCCTTTGGAGATTGGTGTTTTTATTATTATTATTATTGACACAGGGTCTCGTTCTGTCACGCAGGCTGGAGTGCAGTGGTGCGATTTCAGCTCACTGCAACCTCTGCCTCCCAGGCTCAAGAATCCTCCTGACTCAGTCTCCCAAGTAACTGGAACCAAAGACATGAGCCACCATGCCCAGCCAATTTTTATTGATTTATTTATTTATTTAGGTAGAGATGGGGATTTTACCATGTTGCCCAGGCTGGTGTCGAATTTCTGGGCTCAAGCAATCCTCCCACCTCAGTATCCTGAGTAGTGGGACCACAGGCATGCACACCACTATCAGATCACTTTTTCAAAAATTTTCTATTAGGGACAGGGTCTCGCCACGTTGCCAGGACTGCTCTCAAACTCCTGAGCTCAAGCAATCTGTCTGCCTCAGCCTCCTAAAGTTCTGGGATTACAGGTGTTAGCACCTCAAACGGCGAGGCTGGCTTTTTGCACTCAGCAGAATGCCTCAGAGACCCATCCAAGGAGGCTGCACATATGGGATGTTTGTTCCTTTTCATTGCTGAGTAGCATTCCCCAGCATCCCATCACCTTTTAACCAGAGAGAGAGACAGGGGCTTTCTCTGTCACCCAGGCTGGAGTACAGTGGCATGGTCACGGCTCACTGCAACCTCAGCCTCCTCAGGCTCAAGCAATCCTCCAACCTCAGCCTCCAGAGTAGCCACGGGTGGGAGTCTCCACGCCTGGCTAATTTTTTCATTTTTTGTAGAGATGAGGTTATACTATGTTGTCCAGGCTGCTCCCAAACTAGGTCTTTCTGTAATTGACGACTTCTAGACATCTCACTAATGGTGTAGGGCAGTGCTTCCCAAA